CCCATCATGACTTGTTTCACAATACTATGCACCCAAACTTACAAGAACCAGTTTGGGGTTCCGATAATTTTTGTAATCCCGCACCCCAGGAAACCCGAAACTTTAATCAGCAGTCTGCAGATTTTAACCAAAAAAGCATAGAGTACAAACCTAAAAGTAAAAGGTTTCCAAACCAACCAGACCTAAGCCGATATGGTGCCCAGCACTCTAACAAATCAGAACATCACCGATCAAAAACAGAGATGTCATCGCAAGAAAGCAAAGACGCAGCATGCGCAGAAAATCAGGAAGGATTCGCTGCCTGTGAGTTTTCGAGTTTTTGTTCAGAACAACCTCAATGGTTTGAACAACTACAACTAATGCCGGTTTCATTCTGCCATGGTGAAACGAGCACAACTACTTATGCATTAATTGACCACGGGAGCCAATTTAGCTTCATCGTTGATGAAATAGCAGACAAACTACAAATTGCATCTATGGAACACACATCAATGTCTCTTCGTTATATCGACATTGATCATGAAATGCCAGTTGCAAAGGTTGATAATGCTGTTGACATCTCACCGCATGACAAACCGGAAGTTAAGTTTTCAATGAATAATTTGTACAAAATTCCTTGCTTAAACATACCGGCGGCAGATGTGTTTAATTTGAACGAGATTTGCAGCTCTACCGACAAACTTCGCCATATTCATTTTCCACACCTCGATCATGGGAAGATTGGAGCTTTGCTTGGTGTAAACTCATTCTTGTTTACATATCCTCTACACTTTATTGAAGGGAACAACTTTATACCTTCAGCTGTGCAGACAAAACTTGGATGGACATTAGCCGGCGAATACCAACTGAACCAAAATAGACAACAGCGACACTCATCCAAAACAAAACATCGGCCCTTTGTCTTCCACGTTTCTCGCAACAAAACAACAGAGCAACCTCTGGACTACCTTGTACAGCAATTTTGGAAAATCGAGGAAAACGGAATCACTACACAACAAAAACTACAGCAGCGACGACAAGCTTGCTCTCCAAATCTTGGATAACACGACAAGACTTGTAAATGGACGATACGAAATAGGTCTTCCCTGGAAACCCAACTCAACTCTCAGCAACAACTACTGTGTAGCTCTGAAACAATTGCAATCATTGCAGAAAAGACCCGGAAAAAACACCGCTCTACAAAATTTATATGAAAAGACGCTAGTTACGGACCTGGAAAAGTCTTACGCGCAGCCAGCAGTTTTTACTAAAGAAGTATCTTCTAGGTTGTGGTATCTGCCTCACCACGAAGTCGTAAACCCTAACAAGCCGGGAAAGGTAAGGCGTGTCTCAAATGCTGCCTCCAAATTCAAAGGCCAATCTCTAAATTGTAATCTGCTAACAGGCCCAGATTTGCTCGCAAATCTGGAGTCCTTCTGCGGTTTCGTAAGTTTGGTATGGGGACACTAGCTGACATTGAAGGAATGTTCATGCAAATAAGCATAAAAGCAGAAGACCGTTCCTCGCTACGTTTTCTCTGGGATCACAAAAATGTTATAAGACATTACCAGTTTTCAAGACTAATCTTTGGAGCAACTTGCTCTCCATTTTGTGCTATCTACATTCTACAGAAATGTGCCAAAGACAACATCGTGAATTTTCCGCTTGCCTTTGAATCCTTCAAAACAAATTTACATGGACGACTACATTCACTCAGCTTCTTCACCCAACGACGCATTGGAGTCCGCTTTCCAGACAAAAGCAGCCCTACAACAAGGCGGATTCAGACTAACCAAGTTTGAATCGAACAGCACTAGGGTACATAACGGTTTACCAGCCTCGGAAAAAGAAACACCTAAGCCAACAACTAGAGTTCTAGGACAAAAATGGAATTTGACAAATGACACACTATACATGGAGCCTCCAAAGGCAATTAGTGGGGATGCCCACGAATACACACAACGGAAACTTTTCAGCCTAGTGTCTTCAATTTTTGATCTTCTGGGAATATTAGCACCAGTAACCATTTTGTTCAAAGCATTTTTGCAATCAACATGGAAATTAGGCAATTCTTGGGACTCATTATTGCCCGCTAACAGTCAGAAAGAACTACAAAAGCTGCTAAACCTCTTTGTGTCAATGAAACCAATCAGTCTTCCCCGAACACTTCAAAAGGCAATTAACAACACGGGATAATGTTCAACTTCATACGTTCACGGATGCGTCCTTGATAGGAATGTCAGCAGTCGTGTACGTGAGAGTCGAATATCAACCAGAAAAACAATTGGCAACTCACTATGTAATAGGTAAGAGCAAAGTAGCTCCAATCAAGCAGCTGAGTATTCCAAAATTAGAGCTTGAAGCAGCAATTATTGGATTTCGACTAGTTGCAATTGCTAAAGTACAACTTCAGCTTAACGTCGATCCTGACGTACATATGTGGACAGACAGTCAGGTTGTAATTGATTGGATCAACTCGAAGAAAAACAAAAAAGTTTTGTGTCAAATCGTCTAGCCGAAATAAACGCAACTCAAGAAAACAATAACTTGCACCATATACCGACTCATCTGAACCCTGCTGATCACGGCACTAGAGGATTAAAAACTATAGATATCGAATCAAAATGGTTAGCAGCCCCATCCTTTCTGATGTCAAAATCATCTGAATGGCCACAGAAGTCTTCCGTAATAGAAACTAATAGCGTCTCAATATTCGCCTCAGTGTGTGCATCACAAAAACCGTTTTCAGGTCCTCCAGTCTTTGACATCAGTCGTTTTTCCTCGTGGAATAAACTTTTGTTGACCATCGCCGCAGTTTTCAGTTTTTTCACAAAACTGAGCTCATCATCTGCAAAAGACCAAGACTTTAACGGAAAACATCGAAAAGAACGACAGCATTCAACTAGTAACGATATGGAACGAGCGAGAAATTATATCATCATATCAGCACAGCGAGAATCTTTCAGTGAAACGATTGAACATCTACAACAGAAGCGGCGCCTGGAAGCGAAGAACAAACTGATTAAATTCAATCCATACCTTGACCAAAAGCATATGCTTCGTTCGCGCACCAGGCTCGATTTTGCCCCAACAATGGAGCTTGAATCACGTCACCCGCTGATTCTATTAGCAACTCATCCAACAGTTAAACTCTATCTACAGCATGCACACCAAATTTGCATGCATCAAGGACAAGAGTTCGTCAAATCTTTCGTGCAGCAGCGCTACAACATCATTGGGATACGACAAGCTCTTCGTTCAATCGCTCATCATTGTTTCTTGTGTCGACGATACAAAGCAGACAACCTCCAGCCAATCATGGCACCAGTACCACTGAAGCGATATCCCGACGAAAATCAGCTTTTTCCGTTCACTAATGCTGGAGTAGACTTTTTTGGCCCCTTCTATATTGAAAACAAAACAGATATTGAGAAACATTACGGAATAATTTTTACTTGTTTTGCAACTAGAGCTGTTCATTTCGAAAACTGTCCAAATCTGTACACTGATTCACTTATGAATGCAATAGGTCGGTTTACAGCTAGACGGGGAACTCCAAAAACGCTCACCAGTGATAACGGAAAAACGTTTGTTGGAGCCTCTAAAGAACTAAAAGACGCCATAAAAATGGTTGACAATAGAGCCTGTTCTTTCAAGCTACAACGGCAAAACATCCAGTGGTTCTTCAACCCGCCCAATGGCCCTCATTTCGGTGGCGCTTGGGAGCGCTTGATTCATATTGCCAAGAGAACAATCCTCATCATTCTTGGATCGCGAAAACTCACACTTGATGTTTTTCAGACAATTTTAGCCGAAACCGAAATGATACTGAATTCGAGACCCTTGACAACTGTAACTGATTACCCAGAAAATGATGAGCCACTGACACCAAATCACTTTCTCATTCAACGACCTTTCAGCAGCCTTCCACCAGGAGTATTCGACGACAGCATGCCATTAACCTACACTAAATGGACCCACGTTCAACAGATGATGAACCACCTGTGAAAGCGGTTGAAGAAGGAGTACCTACCTTCACTAATGAAACGGCCCAAGTGGAACGAAACGCAACCACCATTGAAGGTTGGAGACATAGTGTGGGTACTAAAAGACCTCACGCCGCGAGGTATTTGGCCGATTGGACGTGTGGTGGAGGAACATCCAGGAAGAGATGGCACAACACGAGTGGTGACCGTGAGAACGGCTTACGGCACTCTCAACCGCCCCGCTACCGCTCTTGTTAAGGTTTTTTGATTATTTTTGCAACGCCTTTTGCGCCGTTCCAGACGATTCGGGGCCCCGGGAGTATGTTGCTGAAGCAACTACATTTTCCCAATCTTTATAAATCAAAAGTCACTGTGATCAAACATTTGTAATCTCTGTGATATAAACACTCTTGAAACAAACCAGAACTTAAAAAGTTGACTCTTGGAGCCATGTTTTGACCTAAAGTGACAAGTCAACTACAGTGTGGTCTCATTTATAACTAAATGTTATAGTTTTGCGCAGCTTGAAAATGGGTCCTATACTATATTCCAATCTACTCTATACTTTCACACTAGGGGCAAAATTTAAAGGCTGTTTGTGGTTTCTACTCTGAAGTTTCTAATTTGAAGCAATGTTTTGGGAAACAGATTTACTTGGAAATTGACGAAGTTTTCTAGTCGAACGTGAGCAAATGATCTCAGCATCCCTCTAAGAAATTATCAATATTTGGTTTCCACAACATACCAGTTTGTTGCGGGTCTGAAAATGCGACTTTCTTTATCTGCAGTAGCTTTTTCTACCGCATGTAATGCTTGAAAAGCGTTGCTATACACTGTTTTTTTCCAGCAATTTTTCTTTTTCATGATGTTTTCTTTTCAATATCACCCAGTATATTAGCACAATTTATAGGGTGTAAATCTATGAGTATTGAGATAAACATGAGCAACCTTTACAGAATTGTATTTTGAGGCATGCAAAAGTTAACACCTGTTTTAATTAATTGTTCTTTTATCCAATCGGTTCTTTTCAGACAGCAATGACTTTCTCCGAATTGCCTCCAAATAACACTATTTACATCAACAATCTGAATGAAAAGGTATCCCAAACCGAACTGAGAAAACAACTCTTTGCAATATTTTCACAGTTTGGCAAAATTCTGGATATTATGTCGAAGAAGACACTAAAACTACGCGGCCAGGCTTTTGTGGTTTTTGAGAGTGAAGCTAGTGCAACTAAAGCCCTCAAATCCATGCAAGGCTTCCCGTTCTTTGACAAACCAATGAGAATTCAATATACAAAAAGTGATTCGGATTTGATTGCGAAACGAAAAGGAACTTTCGTTGCCAGGCCCAAGCGTGAACGAGTTCCGAAGCTGAAGCGAAAACCAGAAGGCTCGGAAGAGCCGAACAGTCTACTTTATGTGCAAAATTTACCACCTGACGCAAACGAGGTAATGGTCTCAATGCTGTTCACGCAGTTTCAGGGATACAAAGAGACTAGAATGATTCCGGGCAGACCTGGAATGGCTTTTGTGGACTTTATGGACGAAACATCGGCAACTGTGGCCAAAAACACACTGCAAGGATTTAATGTTTCTCCTGCGCATCCCATGCTCATTATGTATGCCAAAAAGTAGAGTAGATTGTTGTTTATTAGCCTCTCACTATTGTAGTCGAACAGAACATAGTAGAAGTAATCCAGACTCAATTTTTGTCTTACGTTTCGTCTTATTTGCTTTCATTTCAATTCTATTATCTGTACTTTTTATTCATAGCATAGCAGTAGTATTCTTTAGCTAAACTTATATGATTTTTTTCTTCAAACTTGAAATGCTCAACCCTGTAGTTGGGAGCTATCAGAGTATTCGCAGGGGTTGCGAACCTTGCGTCCAATTATGACTGCTCAAATCCTTGTAATTTTCGAGAAATGACGTTTTTTGGGATTTTTTCAAAAAGTTGTCAAAAAATTTGAAATAAATTTTGTTTTAAAATTTTGAAATTCCTTACCCTGTAGTTGGGTGGTGTCAGGGTACTCCCAGGGTTTGCGAATCTTGCTTCCAAATATGACTGCTCAAATTCTAGTTTTCTTTGATTTTAATTGTATTATGTGTAGTTTTTATTGATAGCATAGCAGAAGTATTCTTTAGCTAATGAACAGTGAAGTCAATTAAAATAAGAAGAAGAATCAGTTCATCCACATCATTATGCTTATAAAAGGACAGCAACATGTTATTTTATACAGAAGTATGTGCGGCAATACGGAAACATGTGATTCAACTCCCAACAATAATCATTGTATAAAAAAGGCCGGAAATTGTTTGGCGACAGCAGGCACTTCTGCCTAGGTCAAAAGTCAGGCATTGAAGCAATCCACTCAGCCCGGAAACATTTTTATAAGAATGAGTCACAGAAAAAGATTTTAACATAAGTCGAATTTAGTGTCATATTACGAGCTCCAGTTTTTTCCAGCCTAAGTCTAGCTTAAGCTGGAAAAAATGGACTTCGTAATACGAAAGTTTTTGCTATACTGATGCTGTATAGCATTTGTTCGATATCCGCTTAGTGAGTGGCCTTGATTATCAGTTAGTGGTGGCGCAGGTTGGAGGACGTGAGCATCTTAATCTACAGGTACGTGGCTCAATTCCGGCTCAGAAAGTTTCTCTTTTTTACACAAGCGAAGCTTGTGTGATATTACGAACTCTTTTTTTTTCCAACCTAAGTCTTTTTATTGCAGTATATGCATAAGATCAATAACCAGCGATTAAGTACAGCAAATGCTATATTAACAAACATTATTGTATTACAAGTAGCACTTTAGCTGCAAAGTGTTATGGCTCTGTAGCGTCCGCTCTATAAATTGAGGCATGTTATTTGCTAAATTTGTTTTCAAATTGACTGGTGCTGCTAAGGCGGCATAATTGGCTTGCGTCACTTAGCAATTGTGTAGACTCATAATTGGCGTGCGTCGCGTAAGAAATTTTGTAGGTTCAAAGTTTTACTCATTCAGTTTTTCCCAGTAGCGTTGTCGGTCATATTTTTGCTTGTGTATGCGAAGTGCAACTTCACCTTTGTGTCAAAACTTGTTGCTTTCACTTTCATTTTTCTCGTTTTTTATACTTTTTTAGTGTTGTTTTTTCCAATTTCTCCCTTGTGTTTGCAAAGAAGTGCAGCTTCGCGTGTGTTGTAGCTACTAGAAACACCTTTAGTAGTCTAAATTGCGATCTCACTATTATTGAAAAATTGTGTTCAGCAGTATTCAACGCCCATCGAACTCCAACTCTAAGCCAGTCTTTTTATTGATAAAAAGTGTATATTTCACAAGAATATTCGGCACAAGGAGAACCACTAGCGATGTATTTAGTACCAATAAAGAATGCTCAACGATTAACCGCAATTAATTGAAAAGCAAAAGAAAAATAAACAGATCGAATAACAGATTTTCTATTTTTTTGGTCAATTAATCAATAGCCGTCAACTATTTACCAAAACAAACACTACTAGAGCATCGCACTTCCATTTAGATAACAAAGAATTCTCTGAAATCTTGAAATAGAAATGTAAAGATATTGTTGCTGAAAATTTTAAACCAATCAGAAACGTTAGTCGTTCCTATTCACTAAATGATTTTTTTGCATGAAACTAAATAAGCAGAAATTTCGAAATAAGCAGAAAAGATTTGATAGTATTACAGCCAAGTTGCTGTACAATCCCTGCAGATCTCGAATAATTCTTTTTTTTTCAATTTTCGGTATTTACACTAGCGAAGCTAGTACGAACATTCTTTTTTTTCCATTGTAAGTCGCAAATATTGTTGCGATTTAAAGCAACAATATTTGCTGCATCGAATTTGGCATTAAGATATTTTGTTGCACCATTGATATTTTGTTGCACCTTTACAGCGTTTTGATAATTTGTGCTTTGACATTCGAATAGTTATAAGTTTACACAGTTGATGCATTTTGGTTCATCAAGTGAACCGAAGAAAGCTTCAAACAACAACAAAAAAACAATCTCGATTTCAGAAATTTTTAACTCAGTATATCTCTCAGTTTTTTGAAATTCATGATTTATACATAATGTGGCTTTATGGTTTGCGATTTAATACATGCAAAATTATAAATTTTTTTTGTGTTTGATGCTACTTTTGCTGCATCGAATTGGCAATTTATTAGCTTATGTAGCTGCGTTATTGGTGGCTAGTTTCTAGGGATTCTAAGCATCCGTGGCTGAATGGTTAGTGCATGAGACTCAAACTTGCTAGGTCGCAGATTTTAGCTAATTCGAGTTTTTGCTAAGCCTCGAGTTTTTACAAGTTCGAGGCTTATTTCTACTTTTTCTTATGCCTCTTGATAGAGCTGCTTTTTGGTCGTGTTCTCGGAAGTTTTTGCGAAGAGCACCTTCGCCTCTGTAAAATGTGTAAATAATCAATTATTGCGACAAATAGAGACCACATAATGGGTTTTTAATGCATTATAACATATTGTAGTTCGTTTTTAATTTCAATATAATTGATTGTTTTCTTTACATGAAATCCATAAAAAATGATCACATGTGTAGATGTTCACTCTATTTTGCAGCTGTATGCAAAACGTGAACTCGAACGAACACGCCCGTCATCCTGCTGTTCACGATCTGCCCACGTCTCCCCAAACACCCCACGTTCCTTCGCCCCCACGTCTTACAGTTACCGCCTCCATCCCGCGCCCCGCATCCACTTATGCGCTAAAAATGCAGAAGGGCAAAGAGGGTGAGCTAGGGGAGGGCGCATTTTTATTTATTTACTTATCTTGAGTGTACATCAAATAATCAAAGAGCAGACGTCAGATTACTAATTTAGCCCAAGAAAGGATAGTAAGAAAGCCAGAAATAGGCTTGTTGAACGCTACGCTAACAATGAATCAACAAAATTTAATCAGAGCAGTTATTTTAGCAACAAAAAATTAAAATTTGTATAAATATGCATTCAAAACAAAAACTTAACACAGGTAGCTCTCGGGTGAAGCTGCTGAATATGCGGCTTCATAAATTAACCTAAAGGTATAAAAAACTAATATAATTTGTAAGATTAAGAGCAGTAAGATAAGACAAACCAGGGTCCAGCTCAACTCAGCCGGGAAAGCAAGATTCTCCGATTTTTTCCTCACTTCCTTTCCTTGAGTCCACGCGCTGGTTCCTTCGACGAGGTAGCCAGCAGGCCTTAGAATGCACTCAGAGAAGTTAGAAACCTCAGCTTATTCCTCACTTCCTTTCCTTGAGTCCACGCGCTGGTCCCTTCGACGAGGTAGCCAGCAGGCCTTAGAATGCACTCAGAGAAGTTAGAAACCTCAGCTTATTCCTCACTTCCTTTCCTTGAGTCCACGCGCTGGTCCCTTCGACGAGGTAGCCAGCAGGCCTCAGAATGCACTCAGAGATGTTAGAAACCTCAGCTTATTCCTCACTTCCTTTCCTTGAGTCCACGCGCTGGTCCCTTCGACGAGGTAGCCAGCAGGCCTTAGAATGATCTCAGAGAAGTTAGAAACCTCAGCTTATTCCTCACTTCCTTTCCTTGAGTCCACGCGCTGGTCCCTTCGACGAGGTAGCCAGCAGGCCTTAGAATGCACTCAGAGATGTTAGAAACCTCAGCTTATTCCTCACTTCCTTTCCTTGAGTCCACGCGCTGGTTCCTTCGACGAGGTAGCCAGCAGGCCTTAGAATGCACTCAGAGAAGTTAGAAACCTCAGCTTATTCCTCACTTCCTTTCCTTGAGTCCACGCGCTGGTCCCTTCGACGAGGTAGCCAGCAGGCCTTAGAATGCACTCAGAGAAGTTAGAAACCTCAGCTTATTCCTCACTTCCTTTCCTTGAGTCCACGCGCTGGTCCCTTCGACGAGGTAGCCAGCAGGCCTTAGAATGCACTCAGAGATGTTAGAAACCTCAGCTTATTCCTCACTTCCTTTCCTTGAGTCCACGCGCTGGTCCCTTCGACGAGGTAGCCAGCAGGCCTTAGAATGAACTCAGAGAAGTTAGAAACCTCAGCTTATTCCTCACTTTCTTTCCTTGAGTCCACGCGCTGGTCCCTTCGACGAGGTAGCCAGCAGGCCTTAGAATGCACTCAGAGAAGTTAGAAACCTCAGCTTATTCCTCACTTCCTTTCCTTGAGTCCACGCGCTGGTCCCTTCGACGAGGTAGCCAGCAGGCCTTAGAATGCACTCAGAGAAGTTAGAAACCTCAACTTATTCCTCACTTCCTTTCCTTGAGTCCACGCGCTGGTCCCTTCGACGAGGTAGCCAGCAGGCCTTAGAATGCACTCAGAGAAGTTAGAAACCTCAGCTTATTCCTCACTTCCTTTCCTTGAGTCCACGCGCTGGTCCCTTCGACGAGGTAGCCAGCAGGCCTTAGAATGCACTCAGAGAAGTTAGAAACCTCAGCTTATTCCTCACTTCCTTTCCTTGAGTCCACGCGCTGGTCCCTTCGACGAGGTAGCCAGCAGGCCTTAGAATGCACTCAGAGAAGTTAGAAACCTCAGCTTATTCCTCACATCCTTTCCTTGAGTCCACGCGCTGGTCCCTTCGACGAGGTAGCCAGCAGGCCTTAGAATGCACTCAGAGAAGTTATAAACCTCAGCTTATTCCTCACTTCCTTTCCTTGAGTCCACGCGCTGGTCCCTTCGACGAGGTAGCCAGCAGGCCTTAGAATGCACTCAGAGAAGTTAGAAACCTCAGATTATTCCTCACTTCTTTTCCTTGAGTCCACGCGCTGGTCCCTTCGACGAGGTGGCCAGCAGGCCTTA